AAAAAAAAAAAAAAAAAAAAAAACAAAAAAAGAGTTTGTGAAAAAGACAAACGAAGCTGGTGGTATAAACGCGTAGGCACAGTTAGTCAACGAAACGGAAGCGAATATAAAAAAATCAATTTCACCTGCATCTCGTCTCAACCGTCACCTGTCGGTCAGTTGGACACGTGCTAAGTGGTGATTGGCTTGATTCATCAATCCGCGTTAGAGGTAACCGGAGAATACCGGCGACCAGTAGTAGGTGGGTTTGAGAGGGGGAATCCTATGGGCTTCAACACAGTTATAAATGAGGCAGTTGTAAACAACTCTCAAAGACAACAGAAAAAAAAAGAGTGAGAAAATAGAGAGAGAATTTCACCTAAAAACTCACTTTGCACACACTTCACTAATTTCTTTGTTTTGTTCTATTGATCCCTTTTCTGCAGATTTATCTGCTTTTTTTTTTATTTTTTTTTTCAGAAATTTCGTGGTTTTTGGGTTTGTTTTTTGTTTGTACAAAAAAATTTATTTGTAGTCATCATGGACAAGATGCAAACTTAAAACAGGATTTCAAGAAAGCCAGTTATTTTCAGAACGAACGAGATCTGAAATTATTATTCTTTTTTTATTCTTATTTTCCGTTTCATCGATTTTGAGGGCTTATTAGTGTTCCCTCAAGACTCGATTTTCATTCAGGTTTTCGAAGAAAAACCAAAGGGGACTTTAAGGGGTTGTCTATTTTTAAACCTTCCTTAATCCCATAAAAAAAAAAAGCTGAAAAAATTTGGGTTAAATTTTTATTTTTTTTTTAACGGCTTAATCCTGTTCTTTAATTTTTTTTTTTAAGAAACAGGTTCCTTTTCTGTTCTTTTCTTTTTCCCCTTTAATTAATACCTCTTACTAAATTTTTCTTCAAATAGAATATTGATATGGCTGGTGCTATGGATTTTTGGAGTAGCACAGCAGCAGTTGTAGATCCTTTTGATGGTGGTGAACTAATGGAAGCACTTGAACCTTTCATGAAAACTGCTTCTTCCCCACCACCACCCCATTCTTCCACCGCATCCTTCTCCCTCTCTTCTTTTAATGGTTGTGATCAGTTTTTTGCTATGTCCAATCTCCCTCCTTCCACCTCATTTCCTTGCTATCCCTTCCCCCAGCCCGCCGTGTACCAGCCGCAGGCCTCAGCCCATGATTATTTGTATGGGCTTGGCCAGGAACATCAGCCGGCACCTATGGGCCTCAACCAGCTATCCCCAACCCAGATCCAGATGGCCTCAAGCCCATTCCAGGCCCCGTACCCTCCTAGCACTCACCAATACCTGGACCCCGTCCCCGTCAAGCCGGCCGGCTCACCCCCGAAGTTGTACCGTGGGGTCCGACAGAGGCACTGGGGCAAGTGGGTCGCCGAGATCCGGCTGCCCAAGAACCGGACCAGGCTTTGGCTGGGGACATTCGACACCGCCGAGGAGGCGGCGCTGGCGTACGACAAGGCTGCGTACAGGCTGCGGGGAGACACCGCCCGGCTGAACTTCCCCCACCTCCGCCACAGCGGCTCCCACATCGGCGGGGAATTCGGGGAGTACAAGCCCCTCCACGCCAGCGTCGACGCCAAGCTGGACGTCATCTGCCGGACACTGGCGGAGGGCAAAAGTATAGACGCTGCCAAGAAGGTGAAGGGGTCCAGGTCCCGGAAGTCCGCCGCCGCCTCAGCCACCGCCGCTGTGGAGGAGGAGAAAGGTGAGAAGGGGGCTTCGGGGTCGGAGAGCGACGGGTCGGGGGTGTCGTCACCGGTTTCGGATCTGACGTTCATTGAGTTTTCGGAGGAGCAGCCGGGTTGGGAGATGGGATCTCTGCCCAAGTATCCGTCCTACGAGATCGATTGGGATGCTTTGTAATTTTTTCAAACTTTATGTCCTTCTTTGCAAAGTTTGTAGTTTTTTTATTATGCGTCGTGTTTTAGTAATTCAGCCTAGAAATTTTATTTTCTTTTTTTTTTTTAATTTTTTTGGGTTTAAAATATAATTGGACGGTGGGGGGTGGAGCCTACTGCAATGAAGTTTTTGGCAATTGCAGCAAAGCTCTTTTTCTTTTTGTTGAGTTGTTGTCGTTATTGGGTAGTTAGTATGGGTTAGCAAAGTTTGGTGTAGCTGCTCTTTTTACGTGGCTATTTCCAAGGCACCATTATTATTATTATTATTATTATTATTAGACTTTGTTTATCTTTGTAATTCATTCGTGTTTGTATCTTATTTGTGTTCTTTAAGAAAGGTTGTCAATTCTAATAAATGACATTCAGCTTCAACCGATCCATTCATAAGAGATACATTCATATATATAGTTTTTGTAGTCTTCATAAGACTTCTCGATCCCCACCAACAGTATTTCTTTAATTTTTCCATACAAGATTTTTGAATGACTGTTACATTTTCTAACTTATTTTTAGAATTTCCACACTTAGTCAAAATAATAATAATAATAATAATAATACGTCGGCGTTGCTCGTATTTCTCCAAGAACGCCAAGGTGATCTAGTCTCCATCACAAATTTGAAATTATTGAATATTTGATTTCTTAATAATAATTATATATAAATTAACACATCATATATAATACAAGATTGAATTTATATAAAAGTTATAAATATATTAAATAAATATATAAAACACAAAAAATGAGAAAATATATTTGTATTATCATATTTAAGTTATTTAAAAAGTATATTTTATATATATTAAAAAGTATATTTTATATATATTAGGCCCAAAAGATATAGTTTTACAAATGGCTCATTTACATACTTATGTTATTGATTGCTAAATTTTGTAATAATACTAACTACAAAACTTATTTACAAACATACCTAATTGACCATAAAAAATTATGTTAATACATAATTGTGTAACGGACAGAGAGAAAAGATTTTTCACAACTCTTTGGTGATCCATTGACTTATGGGATTCTTCTATAAATAAACAAAAATTATACACAAAAATTATACGGTAGCTAGATGGAAAATTTAGTTGAAGATAAATTCAAAAGCACTTTTTTCAAATTTGAATTAAAAAAGAGTGAACTATATTATTGAAGAAGAAAAAAACTAAATAATATCTTTTAGATCATAATCAATCCGCTTTCGAAGTATATTATTTGTTTTATATATTATAAATATACACGATTTGTTTTATATACTAGAAATATACACGATAATATCAAAATCAATTCACTTTCAAAGTATATTATTTGTTTTATATACTGTAAATATACACTATTTTTTTTATATACTAGAAATATACTCGATAATATGGTAAAGTATATAATTTGTTTTATAGACTGGAAATATACGATAATATCTTAAAGTATATAATTTGTTTTATATACTGAAAAAAATAACAATATATAACCAATAAATATACCATTTGAAATTCCCTGCTTTCTTTGGAAAATGTTTTAAAGACAACATAAGTATATACAAATTGTTTTCAAAATTGTACAAATTGTTTCATATTGACTAATGTGTGCTAAAGATATATTGCATAAATAAAAATAATACATAAACCAAAACTAAACATTTAAGGATATGCTTGTAACGCCCCGTTCGTTTATGAATAAATTGGATTTATTATTATTATTATTATTATTATTATTATTATTATTGCCATTAATATTAATTGTTATTTGTCTAATTGCCTAAATGAATTTATGTGCCTAATTGTGTATTTAAAATAAATATTAATTGTGGAGATTTATTATAATTATTAAATACGATTTTTATTTTTTATTCTAATTTAACCGTCGAGCCGAGCCGCGCCCGTGGCCACGCCCAAGACCTAGCCGCCCCTCCCCTCTCTTTTCCTTGTATGTTTGGTAAGTGGATCAAGTGTGGAGCCTTCCTTTTTCCTTTCCTTGTATTGTTTTTATTAAGTAGCTTGATTGTGGGTCTTTCCTTTTCCCTTTGATGTTGATTTTGGCAAGTGCATCATTTTGGGATCTTACCCATATCAAGAGAGCTCTATTTATGGGAGAGATTTCTCCCTCTCCTCGTCTATTTTCTTTTCCTCCAAGCCGCTCTCTCATCTCTCTCGTTCCTCTCATCCCTCTCT